TTTGTCATCCAGGGGCTTTTGTACTTGTTAATCTTCTTATTTACTTTCATTCTTTTAATTGGAAAATGTTTATCATAACTAGCTGTGAATAATGTGGAAAATTGGTTAAAGGACTCGTTTGGGTTATTGCAAGAAATCGTTCCTTCCCAACATACATTTTTAATTTCATCTGTAAAAAACCTAGAATTATTTTTATTATATATCCTTTTTGTATAGTATTTCTCTCCTGTGTCTTCATTAGGCCTTAGGGTATTCAAAAAAAGTTTGTGAATTATTGGTAGATGGTCTGAAATATCACTAAAAAGAATTCCATTTATGCTTGAATCAATGTTGTCAATGTTATTAGTAAAAATATTGTCTATAAGTGTAGCAGTATGGGATGTTATTCGAGTTGGTTTTGTTATGAGTGGGTAAAAAGAAGATGTAAAAAGTTGTTCTGTAAATTTATTGGCAAAATCACAAGATTCTGATTTAAGTAAATCAATATTAAAATCTCCCGTGAGATAACAGATCTTATTCTCTTTATCTACTTTGCTCAAAATTTCATTTATAGCATCTTGAAATACTTCGATCTTATTATTTGGTGGCCGATAAATTACTCCGACGATAATATTTTTCCCAATTTCAGTGGCTATCTCTATAAAAGTAGATTCAATGGTGTCTTCTATGTTAACATTGAGGTCTTTGCGTAATTTATGTTGTAAATTTTCAGCAACGTATATACCTACTCCACCACCCTTTTTTCCACTTCTATGCATACTAATGAAATCATAAACTTCCAAGTTAAAATTTTTATAGTTCTCATCGCCTAGCCATGTTTCTGTCAAACCAATTATCTTAAAATTTTCCTTCGTAGATTTAATAAGTTGTTTAAACATATCAAATTTGTTTGAGATGCTTCTTATATTTAAACACATGACTGAGAATTGATTTTGCTGATTTGAAGGTTGTTTTATATTAAGACTTTCCGGTATATAGTAATTACACGTTAGTCTGTTTGTGTCCAAGACATGATCTAAATTCGCATTACTATCACACAAGGCTATGTCGCTGTTGAAATTAAACGGATTAAATTTGAGCTGATTTAGTCTATCCATATGTTCCTCTGACAAGTTACTTTTGCTTGCATCTAATACATATTCCTCGTTTGAAAGGGTTTGAAATGGCAGAGTATCATTTAAACAAATTTGGCATATGTCAATATTTTTATTAGCATAATTTGATGATTTTACGCATGAAATATCCGCATGAAAACATTTCCGGCATGCAAGGCATTCTATATGCTTTTGCTGTTTTTCGATAAGCTCAAGGCATGAGGAGCATTTATTTACGATTTGCTGTGGCATTATGGGAATTATTTATATATAACGGTACATAAAAAATGATTTAAAGTTCTAGGTTCTATATAAATATAGCATTGAAAAACAATGAAATATGATACCATTATTTGTTTTGATCAGCTGGCTTGAAAACTTGGCCATCTATTATTAGTTTGTCCCGAATCATTTGAACCTTTCTTCCTTGTGCCTTCGCCTTCTTCAGTTCTGGATAAAGGCTCTTTCTAATTCTCGCGATTTCTTCTGGAAATTGCTCGGAAATAGCAATTCCCGTCCCTTTAAGCTTCTTTCCATTAAGCCTCGCCTGCTCCCGATGTTGGTAGTAGTTAAATTTAGCCACTATTGGCCGCGGTTTTGTATCAGATTTTTTGCTTCCCATGCGATGAGAACGATCAATTTTAACGTTAATTGATGCGTTTTCAATACCCAAGTGCTCTTCGAGAATTTTATGAATAAGGCTTGTTGTATTTTCGCCTTCTTTCTCATTAATGTTATAAAATATTAAATTGTCGCGCATTGATCTCGCCTTGAGATCAATAACGCTATTCAGTAATTTAGTATTTGTCGCCTCTAACTCTATCAATCTTTCCTGCGTTTTCTTGTCGATTTCAACCGTACGCTCATTGGCTTTCTTGATATCTTCAATTTCATCGTGCGGAAACTCGACAGAGTGTTTAACTGATTTTAATTCGTCTTCTATCCCCTTAATTCTTTCTTCAATCATATCAAGCTTGTCTAGCTTCTTAAGCTTCTCACTCATGGCAGCCATCATTTCGTATATATCTTCCATATTTATTGTTTTTTAATTTTTTGGTTTTCCTCTTCCTTCTTCATTGGTGTGTCACTAACCCTAGGCATTTTTGACCGACTTTCTTTCACGGGCGTGTTTAAAGGTGAATTTTTTTGATTTTGCGCGGAGCGCTTTGAACCATGTTTAACGTACGCCATGACACGTGATGATGATATCAGTATATTTGATATCAGTTTGTAAAAAATCTGATTGAGCTTGATCGTAGGCTTGATGGAACATCGTACTTCTAAGGGATAAATAATCACAGAGAGAGTTTATTATTGTTATTGTTATTTTGTCAATATCAATTGAGGCATTGAGCAGTATCGTAAAATTGTCTGACTTGTACAGAGATGGTCCTATAGCAACCCAGTGTGGACTGTTGTCTGCACATATTAACTTACCAGCAGTTACATGTAAATAACATGTCAACCGACGTTTGTAAAAGGTATGACGGTCTGTAAAAATGTATCTCTGAGATATGTCCATTGTTTAATAGCATAAATAAGCATAATATGGAATTATCCTACCAGCCTACATTTATATATTCACCTGGCTGTGTGATCACTACAGTACTCAGAGACAGTATACAAATAATGAATGTTTATGAGTGCAATGGTAAGAATATTTTCATGAGGTGAAAGATGGAATGTTCCATTCAACGAGGCGACAGCCGAGTTGAATGGAACTTTCCATCTTTCACCGAATGAAAATATTCTTACCATTGCACAAATTAAGAAACATTCATTATTTGTTTTATACAATACCAAAATAGACTAATAGATTCGTATGAGAAGCATTTTGAGGGATGCAATTTATCGAAAACACAAAGAGTGCAATTGTACTATACGTTTGTGTTCCATTGCACTCTTGGGAAATGGAATTTTCTATTCAATATCACGTGACCATAAACAGCCAATTAAATGATTAGAACTTAATAAGGTATTATAGAAAGTATACTATATTTTTTGATAATGCTCACAATTGTATCATATAGTTTTGCAGTTCTGACTGAGTACAATCTTAGGGGCTGATTACATGGAGAGTTTTCAGCCCGGGCTGAGTTTCAGCCGGGTTATTAAAATGAGCTGAAATTGCATCACGATTACATGAGCAGTTTGAGCCCCGACTGAGTTTAGTCAGAGCTATGTTTATAGTCAACCCGGGCTGAAATATCAGACCGGGCTGAGTGAAATAATCTGAATGTCACGAAATAGGACAATAAGCCTGTTATGCTTCTTTGAAGTAATCAGATGCTGATTAGTCGACTATTTGACTTGTGTGAGACTGTGGTTATATGTAAAGTATTTAAAGATGAAACAAACATGCAAAATAAAGTCATATAAACGGTTGTTTTTTCAGCCCGGGCTGAAATTTCAGCCTGGGCAGCTCAAACCAGGCCGAAATTTCAGCCCGGGCTGAAACTCTCTCCATCAAGCATCAGCAGATTGTTCAGTTGTTTTGCAATAGGGGTAGCCTTGAAGGTGTCATTATTGCATTAAAATGATAATTGGAACAAAAACTGACTTAATATTTCTATATATGGAATTATTATTAATTCTACATGTCAAATGATTCATTCAAGTGTTATCATTTATATATAGAATGATTTTGTACAGTATTCAGTGGCAAGCTAGCTACCATGGCAACTGGTCATGCCATGCCAATAAACCTGTATCTATTTGAATAATGCAAATCATTATATTAAAAGCTTGCATAGCGTGACCTGTTGCTATGTCAGCTTCACAGGCTGACAGTGTTATAATTATACATACAAAAGCAAGAAGTTATAAGCATTGAATGTATTCATATACATTTAGCTGATCTTTCGACTTTTCCTGTTTACATGATGGAAGTTGGGATGATTTTTGATGTATTGGAATAAGTCACTAGGCTAAACAAAAGTTCAAATGCTTGTTAACAGAACTCAAATATTGTAGACAAGATCTTGTAGTTCAAAAAGATTATAATTGCTGCTTGAACAACCTTTCGTTTACAGTAACTATAATTTATCTCTAGAAAAGTAATGTTTTTTTGCTGAATTGTGCACTGTGACTCATTTCAATACATCGAAATCATCCTGCCTCATATCTCGTCCTGGCGAAGTGGGATCGTATAAACAGACCCTTATTCAGCAAATTGCGCATGGTGCCATCCCTTGGGGGTGAGGCAGCATTTTCCTTGCGATAGTAACTTCTAGTATAAATGTTTTTTTAAACTTTAAAGCTGCCAAATTGATGGTTTATCCCATTGTTGGTGAACTTTTTAAGGTGAAAACAGAAATTTAAATCCGGCCGGATGCCGGAAAATTCGTTAAATCCGGCCGGAATTCCGGCCGGATTTGAAATCCGGTGCACCCCTACAATAAACCTAAATTTGCAGTAAAATATAAACATTGTTTACTTCGAATAGTCAATCATGCCAATATCAGTGATAAAACCTTGACCTGTTGACCTTGTTATTACCGTCCCTTGCAACTACAGATGAACAGTCGCGAAAAGTTTGAAAAAGTTTTGTTATTTTGACATAATAGCTATTTTTCAATAAATATATTGATATTAAACTTATTGAATCAATATTTTAAATTTCAGGCCAGTTGTACAAAAATTTATAAGCGGACCATAATTTGCGCATTTGATCATATACTATAACATGTTAATTTGCGCAATATAAATATTCTGAAATATTATTATTATTATAAAGGCGGATTTCCACTCAGTGCAACATGTCGGCCGATCAATATTTTGCGATGACTTTCTTTTGAAATACAACTAATCAAACGCAACAGATCAGGTTGACTCAACACGTTTCAAAAGAAAGTGATTGCAAAAAGTTGTTCTCCCGATGTTTTGCAATGAATGGAAGTCGGCCTGAATGCAACTCTCCTCTGCAGAGGCTTCTTCTCTGCAGAGAGTCACAGAACAGATACCAGACCAGAAGAGACCCTCCTATGTGTTTTGGCTTGGGAAAGCGTCCGAAATTTTTTACGTGCTATGACGCCATCCTGGAGTGCACACGCAGGATGGCGTCATATGGTGGTGTATTTTCACGTCAGCACTCGTAAAATTTCGGACAAGATATTGTCTGAGTGACACTTCTGGTCCAGTATCTATTTTGTGCGTTAGTTGTCTTATGATTTATTACGATGAGATACATTTCACTACACTTTACATGGCGGATCCTGAAACACGGGCGGAGCCACTGGGCGAAGTAGCGTGGGTGGAAAGGCAAAAGCCTCTGTGGAGGAGAGAGGGCATGCAACATGTACGCACTGCGTACCTATTTTTATAGTAAATATGCATTGTCAAAAACGTCACTTGCTTAAAAATTAAAGTGCCTATATCACTCGTGGGATCTTTACGAATTTGGAAAGAGCACAAAAAGTTAGTTAGTAAGTTCTTCAACCTTTTTTGATTTGGTTCAGTATTTTCCGAGATATTGACCCTCAAACATAACAATTTTCAAAAATATCCGTGGTGCTTGGGGGCCTGGGACTCAGGAACGCGAGCGTAAACAAACACTATAGAATTATATTATATTTTGACGCTGTAACTTACTAAAGTGAGATTTTTTGCATGAAAAGTCGGTTTATTAAGCTCAAAATCGTTCTCTGGTACTGGGAAAGATTCTACGATTGCGCTGAATATAAAATTGAAGGTGAAACGTACAAAACGACTTCAAAATCAATTAGAGAGTGCTCCTTCGTAGATGACATCTAGCTTCGTCGAACATGAAAATGTTGGCATTTAGAGCTACACTGACGAAATATAGGCCAAAGAATACGTTTGAAAGTTAGAATAATATAATAAGGAAATTCATTTTCACATGAAATGGACCTTACATGTACAGTATGTCGTGATATTTCTTCGTATCCAGTCTGCATTCTATATTTTTTCCCCGCCACATATTTCCGCCAGCATTTACTGCGAAAAAAAAATTCCCCGCCAGAAGCTGAAAAAATGGTAACCTAGCGTCACTTTTCTCTATTCTTTTGATCACTTTACTGGTGTTCCCGCCTGTAGGTGGTCGCTGACAAAGCACAGGAGCTTTGTGTTTTTTTTTGCCCTTCTTGTCACCATTGATGTAGAGATTTGCAACCTCTTTGATCATCCTGTCTTCTGCAAGACATTCGGTAGACACCAGTCCAGCTTGGTACGGAGTGAAAAAGTGTCGTCACTTTGACCTCTAGGTTGCTGTTGGGATTTCGTTGTTGAGTAATAAGACTCTACAATCGATTCTGGGCCACCCTTAGCCAACGCGATATCAATTACTAGACAGACCTCTTTTTCAAACATTGTATACACATCTTCATCAGTGTATATGGATTTGTACACAGCCTTTTCGTTTAGTGTCACTCTCATGAACCAGGCACACTCATGAACACTGAGTCACTGACCTCATGCAATATTCAAATTCAATATAATATAAATAATGTACAGTGTTGGTAGTGTTACGTGTCGTGTACATATTTGATGACAGATTGACAGTTTGAGTTAATAACATGAAATGTAAACCGAAGTGAAAGTTGAATTTCGAAAATCAAATGATTTAATTTATAAATAATTCATGAGAATTCATGATGATGAATCAGGACTGATTCAGCAAGTTAGCAATCAGCACGAGAAATAAAAAGCAAAGAAAAACCCTTGTGGTGACTGGTGAAATTGAAAATTGTAAATGAGATGAGCATTAAATCGGTTGACTCACCATAAAGATTAGTTTTGCCAGCGCCTAGCGACTCTTAGCACATGTTTACGGCCTCGGTCTCGGAGCGAACGCTAACCAGTGAACTCAAAAGACCTGGAACGATAACTCGGCCGCCATCTTTGAAGCCAAATTGAAGGCCGCCATTGCACGTCAGGCCTCGAAAATACACCCCATTTCCGCCGGATGTTTTCTCATACTTCAAAGTTACAATCAAACAAAAACAAAGTTTAAAAAGCTTCAATCTCACCTGCTCTTTTATAAAAAAACATTTTCGAGGATACAAATCAACTTTAAGCATCTTTTTTAAGGAGTTAAATGTTGAAGTTTTGTTCGGCGCGTTTAAACTTGTGCAATATTTACAATATGAAACTGACACCTCAGAATGGACGTAAAACACTAAAAACTATCCGTGTATATGTTTTAAAGCTGTTTTAAATAAATACTTAAGTCACATAATTTGAGAATAAATTGTCACATGTTTGTGCACTTAAGCAATTGTTTACACTGTTTGCACTGTTTACAGCTGCTACACTATGGTATGTACAGTACAAGGCTATACAGTACAAGGCTATAAAGTACTAAGGCCAACTACTAATTAATTTTAAAGTAGAGGTAATTTTAAAGTAGCATCAGCTAAGGATCTAATTAAATACAAATATAAAGTAAGCATAATAATTATGTACATACATATACACATACACTCACACATTGCAATTTACACTGCATTTATTTAGATTCCCTCTAAATAACCCAAAAGTTCTTGGAAAGTGGGAGAAAGCAGTCTGCGAAGTAAATAACTCCCCTGATTGGAAAGCAACACGATATACATACATCTGCAGCAAGCACTTCCCACAATCCGATTACATTATTCCTCCTTCTGAAAATGAAAGCTGCAGGTTGAAATCCACAGCCGTACCTACTATATTCAATTCATCAAGTAACCCAGTCTATGGCATCCCTAAAAAATTAAGAAAAAAGATAGAACATCCATGTAATCTAGAGGTGTTGACAACCGTATCATCTCTTGATATTGTCAACCATGACCATACCTACTGCAAAAAAGCCAACACCATAGAAAATTTGGAAGAGGACCAAGATAAGAAAACCATAGAGGATAAACTAAAAAGAAAAATAAAAGGCTTGCAGCAACAATTAAGGCGAACTAAAGCCAGAAAACAGACCATGGGAGATATTATACAAGAGCTACAACAAAAGCTTCTTATCTGTCAAGATGATGCAGAACTACTTTCGGCAAAATTTGATGGGGTGCAACTTGCCATTTTCAGAGACACAAAAAATAATGTTAGCTGTGATCCTTGTGGGAGGAGATATGTAGACGTTGTCAAAGAATTTGCAACAACATTAAATTACTACTCACCAAAAGCATACGAATATGTAAGGTCAATAATTCCATTACCACATCCGTCACTTATTAGAAAGTGGTCAAGTGTTGTTGAGTGCAATCCAGGATTCTTTAAAGAGTCATTTGAATCCCTAAAAAAGGAAGCATTGCTCAGTCCTGAAAAGAAAGACTGTTGTCTCATAATTGATGGGATGGCAATTAGGAAGCAAACTCTATGGGACTCTAAAAATGATAAGTATGTGGGGTTTGTAGACTACGGACATATACCTACCAGTAAACCAGATCAATATGCATCAGAAGCACTAGTATTTGTTCTTGTGGGGGCCAGAAGTAATTGGAAATGTCCTATTGGATATTTTCTCACTGACAAAATGACTGGAAAAATGCAAGCCAAGTTGGTTCAGGAAGCACTCATTATGGCAGCTGAAGCTGGATTACGTGTCTATTCTGTAACAGCAGATGGTACTTCTGTCAATTTCACCATGTTCAGTGAACTTGGCTGCAAGTTTACAACATCATATGAAAGCATGATTACCAAGTTTAAACACCCTACTCAAAACTACTTCGTATATGCAATTTTGGACCCATGTTACATGCTTAAATTGGCAAGGAATGCTTTGGGTCACTTAGGCTCTATTGTTGACTGTGAAAACAATATTATTACATGGAAATTATTTTCATCACTCAATAAAATCCAAGAATGTGAAGGTTTCCAATTAGCAAACAAGTTTTCATCAAGACATCTCCAGTTTTTGAAGCACAAAATGAATGTCCAACTAGCAGCTCAAACCCTTAGCTCATCTGTAGCAGATGCTATTGAATTTTTAGATAAATCATTGAAACTTAAAGAATTTCAAAACTCAATCGGCACTGTTAAATTTATCAGAATAGTGGATAGATTATTTGACATTCTAAACTCTCGAAACCCAATTGCAAAAGGATTTAAACAACCACTGCGTCCTCAATCGAGAAATACATGGGAAGAAATCTTGAAGCATATATTCTGCTGAGTATTTGCTCAGTTTAAGAACACATGACAGTACCAACCAATTGTTGGTCACACATCAAAGAAAAACATTCATTACTGGCTTTGTCACAACTATTAAATCGACAATTGATATGACAACAGCAATGTTCAGTGGTGAAAATGCTTTCAAATATCTGCTTACTTACAGGTTCTCACAGGATCACATTGAACTCTTATTTTCATGTATAAGAGCACAGGGTGGCTGGAACAATAACCCGAACTGCTTACAACTGAAGTATGCAATGAGGAAAATACTGTTGAGGAACACAATCACAGCCTCAAAAAATGCCAACTGCCTGACATTTTCTGATTCCACAACAACAATTATCCCATTCTTTCACTCCCAGAAACATAAAGCACCTTTAAAAGAAACTCCAACAGATAACCTGGACGAACCTGAAAGCAGTCCTGAAGAAGACCTACTCTGCAGTCACTTAAATTCACCCGGTACATCCGAATTTCTGTCCAACATTTTGTTTTACATCAGTGGTTACATTGTTTTCAAACTGGTCAAAAAACTATCGTGTGAATCATGCAAGCGATGTCTACTTTCTCACTTCAACTCTGAAACTTCAGACCATGATTACTGTGCTATGAATTATAGTCAAATTGCACCTGCATCAGCATTCACATTATTTGTGAACAATGGTGGCCTAAAAATACCGTCACAGTCTGTTTATAACATTATTGAATTTGCTGAAAAATTATTTAAAGTAAATGTTTGCAAAGATGGTCTCAAAATTTCAAGAGAAAACAAGTTAAAGCAGAAGCTGGTTCTGAGTGTGTGTAACCATTTTGTATGGATTCAACCCACCAAATTTTCCAAGATCACGATCAGGAATCGCAAGACAATTCACTTGAAGAAAATCACCGGTCATCCCTTATCAAATTAACGGCAGAAAGATACTTTACCTTGAGACTCTTCACTTACGGCAAACGCTACAACGACAAGGTGGTTAATGGACAGCCAAGCGTCAGGCACCAGCTAACGAAGATGATCCTGTTTAAAAATCAATAAAGTTAAACGTGAATCGTTTTATTATCAGTTGTATAATTCATAAATATTTGTAATTTCAATTAAAGTATTACCTTTTTGTCCAAAACCTTGAATGTTGGATAACGATAAATATATTCCAAAATATATTTCAAAGCACGTTATATTTTACTTCTGTTCCTATCGTCTTCATTTTGCCATCAACACAAAATCCAAACAGCTTGTATTTATCTTGGCTTTCGGCTTTAGTTTTGCTTTACATTTTGCAAGGTAAGTAGGTTTTATGCAAGTAAAGTTTAACGAAAAAATACTTTGCAAAACCGCCATAACAACCACGCCGTTGACAAATCGAAATATCGAATGTGTGCTCGCATCCTTCGTCGCGCGGTCGCGAAGCTTTATTTATATGCCTGATCGCAGGTTACTGGAAAACACAAATTTTTCACGTTTTACAGCGGCTAAGGGATAGATTAAAAGTTCAAAATCGACTTCATTATATGGGCTTCAGTACTAAACAAGTTTTAATCTCGCAGAAATATTCTAAAGTATTTTTTTCGTTGTTGAAAGGCGAAGTTTTCATAGGCACGTTCAAATATTTATCATTTTTCACAATACAGAAATGTTTACCCCTCAAAGTTTTGCTTCAAGTAAGTGCAAGCAAGTTAGAACTATCCAAAAAAACAGGTTTGGATATTTTAACTTGAAGTCTTTCGATGAAAAAAGGATTTTTCTTGCTAATTTTCGCTCAAACAACGTTTTGACTGAATTTCGCACTCCTCGTAACTCACCCTAGTCTTTTTGAAAGTGCATTTTCGCCGCGCGGTTCCCGCTTTGAGCTTCAAATTGGCTTCAACCAATCATAGCACTTGAACATAGGAGTTATCGTTCCAGGTCTTTTGAGTTCACTGACGCTAACAGGGCTCTGGGGGGACTGGGAACGAGATCTTACGACAAGTATACCCGGGGGCCGGGAATCGCGAATATATACGGTTTTAAACAGATGGTGTTTCTGTTTTTCATGCTTTGTCGGTTCAATTACAGAATAAAGAAGAAATTTTATTTGCTTGCCATTTCTTAATCGGGAAAATTCCTCTTGTTACGCCAGTTTCCCCGCCAAGCACAGCTTAGATGCTGTGATGCGCGCCAAATGTTCCTTGGCGGTGTCATTCAGACCTTGCTGCCCGCCACACATCTGTGGCGGAAGGGTCCCTGAATGCAGACTGGCTTCGTATTATTAGTGAAAAATATATTTTCTATAGTATATATATTTATAAAATGTCTACCGCCGCACTGTATTTTGCCATTTGCAATAGGCCCTTTCAAGGTTTATTCCGCCATATTGCCGGGGGTGCAAAACATTGGGGCGAGCGCGCGGCCAAGTCATGGCTGCCATATATTCAATCTCGTTCCCCGAGCATGCTTAACCTGCGAACGGGCATGCTCGGGGAACGAGATTGCCATATATTTTACTATTGAGTGAGCGATAATTTTGTGTGGACATTTTGTTGATTTTCTCGTGCTATATTAAAAGATAGTCCAAATTTTTGTATTCTGGCTGATCTGTGCGTATTTTAAAACTACTGGTAAAGATTTCAATGGAATCTGATTGGGGGAAATCTGTGAATATGCTGATTTCTTCGACACCTTTCGGCGAGCTGTTTACAGTGGATTCACGACAACAAAACGCCGAAAACAGGGCTTTTACGTCTCTGTTTGTTTAAACAAAACAACATTACAAAAGAATCATGTTTAAAAACAATACAACAAAACCGTCGGGAAAGAAGAAAGACGTCCAGGTGCGAGAGTGTAACCTGATATCAATGTCAATCTCACCTTTGATTATATGACATACTATTAGTAATTATTAGATGTAAGAGATAAATTCTAAAAGTAGGCGAATCCAAAGGGTATATAATATTGAGAGATATTGAGAGTTTCTGTTGTTCTCATAGGACGTACCACCCCCATAGCCAGCTGAGAGCAAAACACAAGCAGAAGGAATAGTATCTACAATGCTGTTCAATAATCTTAAAAACCTGCCTGAAGTATTTGATAAATTTTTGTGACTATCAATCAAATTCATCAAAATAGCTCAAGAAACTCATCAAAACTCACAAGTGGTATAAAAGAACAAATTATGTAAAACATATTCTCTCTAATAATGGAGTTGATATATGGAACTCACTAGAATAAAAAATAAAGACATAAACTCTCAATACATCTTCAAAAAACAAATTCAGCAGCATTTTTTGATGAAAACATTCTATTTGCATATTATTTTATTTGCATATTATTGTTCCCCTATTACTCTGAAAATGCTCTCTCTGATTTGACTGTAAAATAAAATAATATATTATAAATCTAACAGTTAACTATAAACCTTTACTAGGGGCCTAAAGCAAAAAGCCTAACAAAGTATCTAGTATTTAGCCCAAATTAATATAAGGAAAAATATGTAAATATTGTCTATGGAACTGTACATAGGGGAGAAAAATTAAAACTAAATAAATAAATAATATAGAAACTCTTTCATTGGTAATATTTCTGTCCTCAGGTTTTCTGGGGTCAAATTCTTTCCTCACTGTTTAATTGCAGACAGAATTTTGGTCGAAATATTAAATTTTTAACCTTGCATGCTTGGATTTACTTCTTTTCAAGTTCCTTTGTTCTATCCTTGGGGAACACTGATACAGGCAGACAGGCAGGGGGAAATATATTGCTTGTTGACATGTTGTAAGCATAATTTATTTAATACATTGAAGACTGCAAGTACATGATTACATGCTCAACTGTTCCAGCTGTTCAAGGACACACATCCACACTTTTATATGTGAGTCATCCTTTGTGATGGACATACTGAATTTACAAAAAAATGTCATGGTCTTGTCAATGGGGCATTTAGCAACATGAATTATATCAACAAATCCACTCATCCAATATGAGTAGGCCCTCTCATCTTTGTATTTGCCAATATATTCAACATCCACTGCCTTTACTCGTAGAATGTATAGCATTCCATCATCAAGATGTGGCCATGTTTGAATGTCATCTTTCCAATATTCATCGCACAGAGTGCTAGCCTCGCTCTTAATAATATCATTAGTTTGTAGCCTTTGTTGGTATTCCTTCTTATTTAATCTATCAAGAATATGTTCCTTGTAAACTTCTTTGAAGCACCCATCTTGCCACATGTTTAACCTTTTTCCCACTCTGTCAACCCAACGAAATCCTCGTAATATAATCCATTTGCAATATAATCCTCCTATGAGAACATAAAATATAAACAACTCAAACTCTCAATATCTCTCAATATATACCCTGTGGATTCGATATTAAAGGTGAGATTGACATTGATATCAGGTTACACTCTCGCACCTGGACGTCTTCTTTCCCGACAGCTCTGTATTGTCTTGTTTTTAAACATGATTCTTTTGTAATGTTGTTTTGTTTAAACAAACAAAGACGAAAAAGCCCTGTTTTCGGCGTTTCGTTGTCGTGAACGCACTGTAAATAGCTCGCCAAAAGGTGTCGAAGAAATCAGAATATTCACGGATTTTCCCCAATCAGATTCCATTGAAATCTTTACCAGTAGTTTGAAAATACACACAGATCAGCCAGAATATAAAAATTTGGACTATCGTTTAATATAGCATGAGAAAATCAACAAAATGTCCACACATTTGCACCCCCGGCAATATGGCGGAATAAACCTTGAAAGGGCCTATTACCATGTTTTGGGCTGTCTTTGAGTAATTATGTTTTGCAGGTTGAATTATTGAGATATCTAAATTAAGTGAAGGAGGAGTTTTTTCGATTCTATTTTGTACTGTTGAAAATCACAATACATTTCATGATTCAATGATTGTATTAGCTTTATTGCTGCAAACCTGCAATAGACCAATACTTGGCTTAAATTAGCTTTGCTATTAATAATGGTAAAGCTAGTCCCAACATTCCAACCCTTGTCAAACAACCTGAACTTGTGAGGGTTGGAGCCATGATGACATCTGCAAGGATCCAAGCCAGCATCGCATGATTTAGGGGCTGTTTATGTGAGCCTGGTTTGCAGGGCTAACCGGCCCTGTTTGAAAGGTCTTATATAGACTATTGATGAAAATCATTGAGTAGAAATTTGTATACATTTATTAACGACCCTACTATACAAGACCCTTCAACTATTATTGAATCGAGTGAAAAGCCAACAAAATCTCAGATATTTACTCATAACCTAAACATGGCAGTACTCTCTTCTATATATACATTCAGTGCAGGAAAAAAGAATTTTCTTCCTGGGAGCAAAACCTGGAGACAAAAATTTCCTGCAGACCAACAGAGTATTTTTGTGCTAAATCTGCATGTGCATAAACATATAGTGTTCTAGCTGACCACGGTTTTAAATTCAAGGAATAATGTCTGTCAATGCTCGCCTATTTTTTCTGCCCCTGTATATACCGTAAACCTCCGACTATAAGCCCTGGGTTTATATACTTTCGTAAGCGATTTTTGATGGGCTTATACAAGGGGGGGGGCTTATATACGGGTGGGCTTATACATGGACGATCGTTTGTGTTAGTAATAAACAAGTCAGACATAAACAAGTCAGTCATAAACAGGAAAATAAACAATCATGTATTAAGCAGCAATTACTGGGCTTATATATATTAATTTGGGGGACTTATATTCGGGGGGATTTTTTATTCGGGGGGGGGGCTTATATTTGG